AGTAGTCACAAGTGGGACTGCAATTTGAAAGGTCAGCAGTTTGAAACCACCCGCGGCTCCTTGGGAGAAAGACAGGGCTTCCAACTCCCAGCAAGACTTACAGTTTCAGAAACCTGTGGGCCAGTTCCACCCCGTCCAACAGGATTGCTGAGTCATCATTGACTTGAAGGCAGTGAGTTTGCTTTTTGTTTTGTTTTCTTTTGCAGTATTCTGATAGGAACCCTGGTGGCCTAGTGTCTATGCATTGGGCTGCTAACCACAAGGTCGGCAGTACAAGCCCACCAGTCACTCCATGGGAGAAAGATGAGGCTGTCAGTTCCTGGAAAGATTTGCAGCCTCAGAAAACAGTGCTATGCTGTCGTATAGGGTTACAAAAGTCGGAATCAACTTGATGGCAGTGAGTTTGGTCTTGGATTGAGTGTTCTCCATCTTCTCCTCTGCTTTTTTTGGTTGTTGTTCTTGTTGCATAGTGGGTTATACTTTGGGCAGCTAATTACAAGGTCAGCCATTCAAAACCACCAGACGCTCCTCGGGAGAAAGATGGGCTTTCTACTCGTGGAATGCCTGACTATCTTGGAAACGCACAGGGGCAGTTCTCCTCTGCTCTGCAGGTTGTTCGGATTCGGGATCAACGCGATGGCAGTGCGAGTGCTATCCTGTGCCTTCAATATCTGGCTCCTTTGTGGCTCGTTTCTTTCTTTTTTAAAATCAGCTTTATTGGCACTTCATCCATATGCCATACGATTCAATCATTCAACCGGTGGCCTGTTTCTGTGGTCTGCTTTTCCCCTTAATGTCTGGACATTTATTTGGATCCTCAAATGCCTAGTAATTTTTGGTCACATACCAAAAAAAAAAAAACCAACAAAAAACCAACCCAACTGTATGAGAAATTGTACAGGCTCTCAGGAAGAATTCAATTGTCTCCTGGTAGATAGAGGAAATACCAGTCAGTCCACTGCTCCAGTGAAAGCAGAATTTCAGCGTGGATGAGGACTGTTCTGGTACTGGCTTGTCCTACCTCCTACAATGCAGGCTGATGCTTAGGGAGTAGCCTGTCAGGGGTTTCAACGGAAAGTCAGGAGTAATCACCAGGGAACCTCTAATTGGCATATCCTAAACTCCAACCTCTGTCTCGAAGCACCACAAGATATCAGAATCTAATTCATTGACCCCTGAGAAGTTGCTTCCTACTTAGCTTGTCGGCATCTCACCCAGAATATGTACAGCAGTAAACAAATGTCTCAGTAAGAAATGGCACAAAGCCTGGTGGACTTTCTTCTCTGTCATTGGGATCTCACTCTTGAAGTCCCTGCTATCTGGGAAGCCCCAAACTCCATTCCTGTCACCCATGCTCAGTGAGACTGCGGGAAGCCATGGCTTCTGAAGTTCTCTTAGCCTCTGCCACCTGCTTTGCTAATAAGCCAACAGCTCGAGATGAAAAACTGACATGATTGCTGGGTCATCGCCATATCATTCTCCCTGGGCGTTTTCCACCTTGAATGTGGACTACCTGACTTCAAAACAGCTTTGACTAATTTGCTAACTTTATAACTGTTTTCGGTGGGAGGGCTAATATGAGCTACCGTACTAGCTACTTCATCTTAAGAGCAAAAATCCTCTCTCCTCATTGATCTTAGGGGGAAAATATCCTTGATAACTTTCATTTGGCACAGTATCAATAGTGGAAAGTATTTCAGTAATCTTGGTGGAGTATTTATGAAAGAAACGAATAAAAAAATAACTCCCAGGGGGTAGTCAGGGGCCCGAGCCATCACAGCCATCATGCTGTTGCTCTTAGGTGTGATCGTGTGGGCTCTGACTAACAATGGCCCTGTGAGGGTTCGATTTTATGTCGATGAGGTGGTTCCTGTGTGGAGAGGGAGGGGGGGGAGTCCAACCTATCAATCAAGTCTTCCTTCGCTTAGTGATGCGTCCTTGGGGATGAGGCCATTGTATTTGAGAACCCCTGCAAACTTCCCTCTCTCTCTCTTGCCCCTCTTTGCCTTCTGGCTCACGTGGAGTGCACAGCTGGCGCCCTGGGAGCTGGGATGCTCTGCCATGTTCCTGGAGACATCGGATCCATGTGGCTTGGCATCCACTGGCCTGTAACTTCCCAGCTTCCCGATTCATCTCTGCTTTGTCCACTGGCAACCTTGCGAGTCTGAACAGGGCCCTGGCCAGTATTGGACCCCTGGACTGGAGCTGGACTGGGCTGGGTCATGTTCCTGATGTAAAATTCTTTCTTGATATTAAGTTCTCTCTTAGACATATGTGAATGTCACTGGTTTTGTTTCTCTGGAAAGCCTAGCCTACCACAGACCCTGTGTACAATAGAACAAAGCATTGTTCAGTCTTGAACCAACCTTAGAATGATTGCTAAGTTTGTGCTTATGATTGCAGTCATTTTGACAATCCATCGCAATGGTGGTCTCTCTCTTTTTTGCTGACCCTCTACTTTACCAAGCGGATGTCTTTCTCCAGTGACTGGCCCACCCTGATGGCACGTCCAAAGATAATTAAATGAAGTCTCGCCATCTTAGCTTCGAAGGGGTAGTCTGCTCTTCTTCCTCCAAGATACATGTGTTCATTCAGAACATGGTATATTCAATATTCTCTGTCAATAACACAATGTGAACGCATCGGTTCTTCTTTGATCTTGGATCATTGTCTGCTGCATTTTGCATGCATATGTAGCAACTGAAAACACTAAGCATGTCTTCGTTATCAAAATGACAACTTTGCTTTTTACTGTGTTAGAGAGGTCTTCTGCAGCAGACAATCATAAGCAGTGCTAATTCGTTTTCACATCGGCTGTCTCAGAAGAAAAGCTAATTTGGTGATAAACTAAGAATCACCTTCACCTTTAAGCTGTTCAATACCAAAAAATTCTGGAAGAAGGCAGTAAGAATTTTTTGGCATGCATTGATCTTACTAACATCAAAGTAAAATTATTTAACCCTCATATGGCAGCTTCCATTGTTTGCACAGGATAAGTTAAAAAGTCCTGCTACAAAATTCTTAAAACCCTTATTAAACAGAAATATCAAATTGCGAAGGTATTGCTTCTCAATATAATCTCTATCTAGGTTTATATACTTCATTTTTTCCTGCTACAAAAGACCTCTTTATTTATTTTTAACAGTTTTATTGGCATATGATTTCCATGTCATACAAATCAATAGCTCAATCACATCAAGAAGAGTTGTACAATCATCACCACAATCGACGTTAGAACATTTTCTTCTTTCTTGTACTCCGTGTTATTGGCTCCTCATCTCCCCATCACCTCCCCCGCTGTCCTCACAAGACACCAGTAATCCAGTTGCGGTCTCGTCGGTTTTCCTAACTTGGATCTCATCTACAAAGAGGCATGCCAAAACGACCACAAAAACAAAGCAAAATAGAACAAATAACAATAACAAAGTAACAACAGAGAAAAACCTCAATAGAAAAGAAAGCAGAAAATATGAAAAACTAGAACATATTTAAAATGGACCAAAAGGGAGATCAAATGATAAGGTGTTCAATGTCATGATCGAAAAAAAATATTCCTCCGTGCAACTTTCCTTGTCTTTTTCTCATGAGTGCAGTTTTAAATCATCTTATGTCCGTCAAGAACGTTTATCATTTCTGTGGAATCCCCCCAAAACAATCTCCCTTACTTCGGAGTGAACCTTTCTGCTTTGAATGGACTTAGTCCAGCAGGGCCCCTTAGAAGCTGCTGGTCCCCTTGA